ACTCCGCTGTGCCCTATCGCCAGTTTGGGAAGTAGAACTCATTTATGGTGTCACTACTACAAAACACCTGCTTCCCCCTAACCAAGATAGTATCACAGAAAACTTTGTTGCGTTTGTGGTGAGGGGCCCTGGAGGCTCCATAAGATGCATAAAATTCACGGACTACTGTTTCATTGTAATCATCCGGTATCTCTGTGAAGCACTCCCCGTTTCTAGCCTTGATGTTCTCCAGTATGTGAGTGTACTGCTCCTGTAGCCTGTTCAAACTCAGTTGTTTCTCGGCAAGTATTTTCCATTTTGTGAGCCCTTCTCTATACAGCTCCCTAGAGCCATCGACCCCAAACCTGAGTAGGAAGTCATCTCCTCTTTTTCTTCTTGCCTCAGCTTGTAGGTCAAATGAAGGCAAGGTCTTCTCCTCATCAGACTGGGAGGGATGTGCAGCAGTAGGGTCTGGTCGTGAACGTTTGGCTTGTTGTGCTTGATGACTGGTGGAGGCCCTTTTATTTGAAGAGGATATATGTTTCTTAGGATCCATATCTGGAAAAAAATAAAGTGTGAGCAACATAGCAGACAACAGAAGAAAAAGTACAAAGAATTTCAAGTATGCGATAGGTTATGCGGTCGCATAACCACTATGCGGACCACAAACATGTCGCAAACTTTCTGTCTGTTGAAAGGATACAGTTATGTGATGGATTATGCGATCATATATCCATTATGCGGTTTGCAAAACCATCGCATAAATAAATGCATGGAAAGTACATTCACTCTATGCGATCGCAAAGTCCACCACAAAGATGGATCTGCGATCACAGAATTGCCGCAAACCACATGCTACGAAAGCCATGAAACTATTTTAGTATGCGGTGACTTTGTGGTCCGCATATCAATTATGTGATCGCAATGTCGCCGCATTTTGTCATCTTCTTCAGGCCACCTAGGGTTCAATATGTGGCAATAATGCGGACCGCAAATTGACTATGTGGTCCACAGAAGTCATCATTATCAGCATTTTCAACTCCACCCTCAACAATGGTGAGCCTAATTTCACTACCCAATACCCCAAGCCTAACTACTTATCCAAGAACCCCCTCACATTATGAATAGATACCCAACTACGAAAAGGAAAAAAGAAAAACAACTAAAGGAAACAAAAATAGGAAAAACTCAACAAACTTTAAACTAACTTTACATGAATGAAATTGAGAGAGGAGAACATACCAGTGATGGGGAAATGAGAACACTTGGGAGATGAAATCAACAGGTGTTGTTTACTCTTTTCGATTCAACTAGCCGTTTTCCTTTGTCTTTTTTTCGTTTTTTTTTGCTTTCTTTTTGATAAAAAAAATTCTTTTCTTTTGTTTTACAAGTTTTTTAATGCTGATGATATGCGAGGGGTACTTACCTGTGAAGTTCGCGGTAAATAAGTCACCGCATAACCCATTATGTGACCGCATAAGTGTTATGCGGTGGGTTCAACTTGAGTTGCTCGAGGACACAATACGGTGCACTTGTGCGATTGCATAATTGAAATGCAGTTCGCAAAGTGAACCTCCTCACCGCATTTTTACCACCAAATTTTGCCAAACAAAGTGTCTGGGTCTGCGACTACTATGCGGTCCGCGTAGTTAAAGTGTGACCTAATATGTGTAGCAGACTTCCCATGGTGACTTTTCTTCCCTCTCACACGCAATTTTACCTAGTGTTATGATCTTTTGAATTACCTGCACTCTAACACACACTTTAAATTGCTCAATTAAATCTATCTAACAAAAGTTATATTTTAAAGGACAAAAAGGGTGTTACCACACATGGGTTGCCTCCCATGAAGCGCTTGATTTAACATCGCGGCATGACATAGTTGGCCTTTCTTTGGGTTCACTCATTGGTCGGGCACGAACCATCTTTGAGAGCCAAATGTTCCACTAAATGTTTTTCTCCATCTGTGCCCAAGTAGTGCTTGACTCGCTGGCCATTTACTTTGAAGGTTCGGAGCCCATCCTCCGATTCTAATTCCAAATCTCCAAAAGGGATATATTGACCACCTTGAACGAACTGGACCATTTCGATTTGAGCTTGCCCGGAAACAATTTGAGCCTTGAGCTGAAGAACAAAACCAAGTCACCTGAATTGAACTCCCTTTTCAAGATCTTTTTGTCGTGGACAAACTTCATCCTTTATTTGTACACAGCTGCACTTTCATATGCATGGAAACGGAATTCCTCCATTTCATTGAGTTGTGTTAACCTCAAATTTACAACTTTCACCCAGTCCAAGTTCAACCATTTTAAAGCCCACATGGCTCTGTGCTCCAGTTCTACAGGTAGATGACAAGCCTTGCCGAAGACTAACCGATAAGGAGAAGTCCCAATAGGGGTTTTGTACGCCGTGCTGTATGCCCACAATGCGTCATCTAGCATCCTTGACCAATCGGTCCCATTTGTATTAACAATATTTTCTAGAATTTTCTTTATCTCCCAGTTGGAAACTTCAACTTGGCCACTTGATTGGGAATGATAAGGTGTGGCCACCTTATGCTTGACACAATATTTCTATAGTAACCCCGTGAAAGCCTTGTTACAGAAATGAGACCTACCATTACTAAGAATGGCTCTGGGAGGGCCAAATCCCGTGAATATATTTTTCTTTAAGAATGTAGTCACACTCCTTGCCTCGTTGTTTGGTAAGGCAATTGCTTCAACCCATTTGGACACATAGTCCACAACTACCAAGATATATTTCATACCACAAGAGCTTACAAAGGGGCCCATAAAATCAATTCCCCATATATCAAAGATTTCTATCTCCATCACAAAGTGCCTTCGCATTTCATGCCTCTTGGAGATTGATCATTGCCTTTGGCATTGGTCTCAAGCCTTGACCATTTGATTGGCATCATGATAAATCGACGACCAATAATAACCATATTCAAGCACCTTTAACATAGTTTGATTGCCCCCATGGTGACCCCCGACTGGTGAGTCGTGGCATGCCTTTAGAATTGACATAATCTCCTCTTCTGGAACACAACTTCTGATGAAGTTATTAGCACAAACACCAAACAAGAATGGTTCTTCCCAATAGTATTGACGAAAATCTCTCAAAAACTTCTTCTTCTGATAGGATTCCAATATAGCCGAAATACGGTCACTAACTAAGTATGTGGCAATATCGGCATACCAAGGAGCAAAAGTATTAGATAATGCCAATATGTGTTCATCCGGGAAAGCATTATTGATTTCAAGATCTTCCTTTGGTCTCCCTACCTCTTCAAGCCTTGATAAATGATTTGCCACTTTATTTTTCGTCCCTTTTCTATCTTTGATTTCGAAGTCAAACTCTTGCAACAACGGGACCCACCGAATAAATCTAGGCTTTGCATCCTTATTTGCCATAAGATAGCGAAGAGCAGCATGGTCTGTGTACACTATCACCTTGGATCCCAACAAGTAAGCCCATAATTTCTCAAAGGCATAGACAATGGAAAAAAGTTCTTGCTCAGTCACCGTATAATCCATTTGCGCTTCATTGACTGTCTTGCTTGCATAATAGACCGGGTGAAGAACCTTGTTGTGACATTGGCCAAGCACTACCCCAATAGCTATACCACTAGCGTCACACATGAGTTCCAATGGAAGAGACCAATCGGGTGTGACAATAATAGGTGCCGTGGTGAGCTTTTGTTTCAATTCCTCAAAGGCCTTGAGGCATTTCATGTCAAACACAAAGTTTGCACCTTTATCAAGGAGTTTGAACATGGGATTGCAATCTTTGAAAAATCCTTAATGAAATGCCTATAAAATCCGGCATTCCCCAAGAAACTTCGGACACCTTTAACTGAAGTAGGAGGAGGAAGTTTTGAAATGATCTCGATCTTTGCCCGGTCAACCTCTATGCCATATTTTGAAATTTTATGCCCCAATACAATGCCTTCATCCACCATGAAATGTCATTTCTCCCAGTTAAGCACAAGGTTGGTCTCCTCACATCTCTTGAGCACTTTTCTAAGATTGTTAGGACAATGCTCAAAAGAGTCACCTACCACTAAAAAGTCGTCCATGAAAACCTCTAGAAAATCCTTCACCATGTTGGAGAAAATGGACATCATGCATCTTTGAAAAGTAGCCGGAGCGTTGCACAAACCAAACGGCATCCGGCTAAATCCAAAAGTTCCATAAGGGCAAGTGAATACTGTCTTCTCTTGGTCCTCCAATGCTATGTTGATTTGGTTGTAACCGGAATATCCATCAAGAAAGCAATAGAATGACCTTCCCGTTAGCCGATCAAGCATTTGATCAATAAAAGGCATAGGGAAATGGTCTTTGCACGTGGCACTATTGAGCTTCCGATAATCCATACACACCCTCCGTTCGGTCACCATTCTTGATGGGATCAGCTCATTTTTGTCATTTTCAATAACGGTCATGCCTCCCTTTTTCGGCACACATTGCACAGGGCTCACCCAAGAACTATCGGCAATGGGGTAGACCACCCAGCATCCAACCACTTGATGATTTCTTTATTTACCACCTCTTACATGGACGGGTTCAACCGTCGTTGGTGGTCTACACTTGCTTTAGTTTCATTCTCCAATTGGATATTGTGTTTGCAAATTCAGGCGGGTATCCCTTAGATGTCCGCAATTGTCCATCCAATAGCTTGCCTGTGCTCTTTCAAGACATACAAAAATTGTTCTACATGCACATCATTCAACAAAGAAGAAACGATTACCGGTAAAGTATCATGTGAGCCAAGAAATGTATACTTCTGGTGTGGTGGAAGTGGTTTGAGCTCTAGTTGCGGTGGCTCAATAATAGAAGGCTTTGCGGGAATGGTGGCCCTATTATCCAAGTCAAGAGAGAGCTTCGTCGGAGCATAAGTGTAGGACCCAAGCCCCTCAAATACGTTGACTGATTCCATATACCCATCCATATCTCACCATCGAAGTTCACCAAAATAGCCACCAATGCCTAATCGAGGCATTGTTCTTCCATCTTCATTTAAACCGCATCTTCCAATTCATCAACAACATCAATCACCGAGATACTTTCATAATCATGTGGTAGTTCCATACCCTTGCTTGCTTGGAATGTAACCTCTTCATCATTCACACGGAATTTGATCTCATTCCATTCCGAAGCCATTAATGCTCTTCCTGTTACAAGGAATGGTCTCCCAAAAATGGTAAGGATCTCTTTGTCAACTACACAATCAAGGATTACGAAATCGGCGGGTAAATGAAACTTTCCCACTTTTAAGTGCACATCATCGACAATTCCCATCGGTCTCTTTATAGAACGATTGGCCATTTGCAATATCATACTTGTGGGCCTTGGCATACCTAACCCTTCTTGCTTGTAAATGGTGAGAGGCATTAAGTTAATGCTAGCCCCATTATCATAAAGGGCTCTTGCAAAATCATGTGTTCCAGTAGTACATAGAATGGTGAAAGCTCCCGGTTCTTCTTTCTTTTGAACGGTGGATGTTGCAATGATGGAACTAACCCGGTGAGTCACATTCACCACTTCATTCTTGGTGGTTCTCTTCTTGGTAATTAAGTATTTCAAATATTTACAAAACCTGGCATCTTTTGAAATGCTTCCACAAATGGAATATTTAACAATAACTACTTGAGAATATCATAGAACTTTTTGAGTTTTCTATCATCAACCTTCCTAGCAAGCCTTTGAGGAAATGGAGGAGGAGGTCTAGGAATAGGTGGTAGAGTTTTTGGTGTCTCTTTTACCTTTTCCTTTACCTCTTCCCGGTTTTCTTTTTGCACTTTCAACTCTTCCAGAACCTTTTCAACTTCAACAACACTTGGCTCTTCAACCTCAACCTCATGTTCGGACTCTTCTACTTCAACCACTTGTTCGCTCCCTCCTTGTAGTACCTTCCCACTCCGAGTAGTAATTGCCATGACATGAGAAGTTGGGCCACTCCCACTACCCTTTGGGTTCGCTATTGTGTCACTTGGAAGTGTCCCTTTTTGCTTCGGATTTGGTTCCCTAGAGAGATCTCTGATTTGGATCTCCAATTTTTGAATAGATACAGTATGAGAGCCAACAAGCTCGGTCTTATTCCTCATAAAAGTGTCGGACTTCTCTTGATTTTTCAATACACATTCAAGCATGCTTTCCAACTTGGAATCACTTGAGGAACCTTAATTTGAATATTGACCCTTTGGAGGAACATAAGGGTTTGAACTCCAATTTGAGAAGTTGTTGTTATTCCAATTTCATTGATTTGAGCCACCTAGGTCATTTCGCCACTGATGGTTGCCTTGCCCTTGCGGGTTAGACCTCCATTGATTTTGTTGTCCTTGAACTTGGTATTGTTGCCTTTGATAGCTTGCTTGAGAGTTGTTGACGTAGTTGGCTTCCTCATAATCTTCATTTGATATGGGTTGCACATCCTCCACCATATTTACCTTTTCCGTTTGGCTTTCAGTGAACATCTTTGTTAACACATTGACATTGGTGGAAAGCCCTGCGATTACTTGATCTCTCTCTTGATTTTCCTTGATCATGGTGGTCAAGGAAGGAGAACCATATGCAATTCCACCTATGTGTCCTCTGAGTGCCAAGTTTGATTATGTTGTGCCATTTTGTCAAGGATTTGTGTGACCCTTACGTATGTCTTGTCCATAAAAGATCCATCAGCTGCATTCTTGGCTATACATTGGTTCATAGTATCTAAACCCATGTAGAATTTCTCCAATAAGATAGAATCCAGAAAACCATGATTGGGAGACCTCGCCAAATACAACTTGAATCGATCCCATGCCTTTTGTAGATGTTCTCCTAGTACTTGCTTGAAAAAGAAAATTTTATCCCGGAGCTCAGATTTCTTACTTTGCGGGAACCATTTATCTAAGAATGCTCGGACAAGTTCAAGCCAAGAATGAATGGAATTTGGTGGCATATTTTGAAGCCATTTCCTTGCATCCCCAGCAGGTGCGTACTTGAACACCCTCAACCTTAGGGCATCATCAGAGACATTGTTCTGCTTATGCATCACACATACACCCAAGACTTTTCTGAGATGTGTAAGATCATCATCAGTGGAATTCCTGAAAAACCCGTCCTCTTTGAGCATTAAGATTAAAACATGTTCCACCTTGAAAGTTGCAACACCAACAACCGGAAGTATAATAGCATTTGTAATTTCGATGTACTCATCTATGTCCGCCAAAGAATTTTCTTCCATTTCTTCCTCATATTCGGCCATGTCTTCCTATCAACACCAAACAAAACAAGCAAAGTGTGATGGAATAGAATAAGACGTAAAGTAAAGCACACACAAATTAGTAATTTCAAAAACGTATTCCCCGGCAACGACGCCAAAATTTGATACGCTCAAATTACACTTTAATTAAATTTTTAAGGCGGTCGGTGTCAAATATAATAACCCAACAAGGTTGGGGTCGAATCCCACAGGGAATGGACGTGAAAAGGTTAGTCGAGTAGTGTGCTACTTGACTTGGGTCGTAATTCTATTCCGTTAATTGTAACAAGAGAATGATATGATTGTGATTTGAAGAAATAACTAATTGTGACATTGAGAATGTAAATAATTTGATTTAGGAAACCAAGGTTGTGTCCCCTTCAATGCAGTGTAATGCTATCGGTGTTAATATGATATATTTCTAATGGAAGGTTCTTTAGATATGCAAATGATTTCTAAATGACTACCCAATATTTTCTAATAGTTGGGTAGCATTTCCTCTTTATGATTTTTTCAAATATAAAAGAGTTGCAATTAAGAACAATCAATATATGCCATATAAAACCCATTTATTCCTAAGCGATTATATTAAACAAGATTTAAAGACTTGAGTCTTTGATATTTACTTCTACCAAATGATAACTCACTTTTCCAAGTAAAGAAAGAATTTAATGGCACTTGTTAATGTTTGCAACTACCAACAATAAATGGAGAATGAGAAATAAATATATATCAACCAACCATTATACATATATTCAATGTTAAACACCCATTAACATAACACCCATTTAGGGTTCACAACTTTAGTATTTAAAAATAGCTACACATGCCAAAATAAAAAAGAGGAGAATATTAAATGCCATAAACCTTACAAAGTGCAAGATTCTTCACTCCTAAAGCTTCCAAAAGATAGGAATATTAAAGACTTGGAATAAAGCTCAAAAACAAGACAAGATGCCCCCACAAAACCCCAATAAATCTATTTATAGTGGGTCAAAACTCTGGATTAAATTCGAACAAAAATACACTTCCAGGTCAATTATGCGACCGCATATCTGTCGCATAATATACATGAGGTCCGCATTCTCTTCAAGGCCATCGCATCTTCGAACCCTAGTTTCCAGGCCTTCGTCGCATTTAGGTTATGCGGTCTGCATTGTTGATTTGCGATCGCAATTGTCACCGCATTTTCCGCCTTCAGCAACTTCTACAATGAGTTTGCGATCCATTATGTGGCCCGCAAACCTGTTATGTGATCGCATAATGGACCGCATTTCTTGCAACTAAATTTGAACAGCAAAGTGTTGGACTTTACGATTTCTTTAACATTATGCGGTTTGCATGTTGGATTTGTGGCCCGCATCTTCATATCTGCAATCGCATTTTGCTCTTTTCTTGTCCTTTTTTGGCTTTTTTATTTCATTTCCATGTTCTTAGGTCCTTAAAACTCATACACCGCAAAAACATTAAAATTACATAAGTATAGAAGATAATTGCATTTCAAACAAGCTAAAATCAAAGCAATTTGTATTAAATGTGCCGAAACTCTCCGTCATATCATGTACCAAGTATCTACAAAACTATAAGACCTCAAAAGGCATGAAAATTTTGTAAGACCTTACTACAGGCATAAACTCGGTACCAAAGTTTAGGCTATATATCGAACTTGTAAGACTCCTAAAAAGGCATACCCTCGATATATACACCTAAAATACTACACTCGGGACGAAGAATGGCTCTGGACAAACACAAATGACTACGGTCATACGGCCAAATTAACGTGACTCGGGGACGCCCGACCGTCGCTACAAAATCATAGGCCATTACTTCGAATATACTTCGAAAAGAACCAGTTAAATAGGCTACCCTCGATAGGCAAAAGGGCTTCGACCATGTCAGCTCCAAATAAAAAGGCTTCGAGCTATTCAGCCTATGAGCCAAACCTTCCAAGGTGCTCGAACATCGCCGCAAATGACTTGAAATCGAGGTTCTTCCCAAACCGATGACGGGTCAGGCAAAATCATTTCAAAAAGTCCTCAACGAAAGGAAAGCAAAGCCTACATATTCCTAAGGGCAAAGCGTAAGAGCCATTTTCGCCAGCCTAATGAGCCTTAGGGCCATACACACTAAACGGTCGCATCAACCAAAAGCATAAGAGCCACCGTCGCCAGGAGAAAATTTGATAACTTGAGGGTCAAAGTGATCTCGAGTCGTAACACGATTCGGAGACGGGACCCAAAATATTTAACAATACATGCCTAAGGGCAAAGCATGAGAGCCATTGTCACCAGCTTACATTAAATGGTCACTTCGACCCAAGACGTAAGAGCCATTATCTCCAGCCCACACAAATGTAGAACTTTAGGGTCGATTGAGCTCGAGTAGAAACATGACTCGAAGACTGAACCCAAAATAGTTAAAATACAAATGACTCAATGTAATGCATAAGAGATCTAACGCTAGCTTACACTAAAGGTCGCATCGACCGAGCGTGTAAGAGCCCCCGGGCATGCTTAATGAGCCCCAGGTCCATATCACGAATCTAAGGATGCTCATCAACTCTAAAACCAGCCTACCTTGTCAAAAGCGAAGCAGAAATGGGTACAAAAGAAATAAAACCTCAAGTTTCTTTTATTTACATACGAGAAAAGGTGCATTCTCCATCTACAAGCACGCTCTGAAGGTATCGCATACAAAATGGCAAAGTCTACACCCCGCCCCTGAGGGTTACGACCTATCAGCCTCATCTTCACTCTCCTTGTCGTTGGACAGGAGTGACTGAGAACCACGCTCGTCCTCTTTCACTCGCTCCAACTCTTTTGGGAGAACAGAACTCCTGGGCCCGAATCCTCCCCTCGCGATCGAGGATCCTTCTCAGCTCGGCTTGAGCATCGGCAACATCCTTTGAATAGATCGACATCTCCTGGTCAGCCTTAGTTCGACTCATTACAGATTCTGCCCGGGCGTCAACGACCTCATCCCTAACTATTGAAAGCTCGGACTCGAGCTCTATAATCATTTTTGTCTGAACCAAAGCATTGTCGCGAGCTAGGCAAAGTTGAGCTTCAAAAGCAAGAACTTTGGCCATAGCATCCTTCCCCCTAATACCTGAGCCTCCGCCCGAGCTTTCAACTCATCATGCCCACACCTGGCCCGAACAACTTCATCTCGAAGGCGTTCCAGGGCATCGGTCTTTTTCTACAACTGAAATAAACTAAGTATTAGCCCCAGGAGCCAGAAGGCGGAATGCAGACTCATTTAGGATAAAAAACTACCTGCTCTTTCAGGTGGTTTTCATAGTTTAAGTTCCGGCTCGCCTCACACTGCAAAATGCACCAACTCGACCTCTTTATCATCACAAAGGAGACTTAGGGATCTCTCCCCGTCTAGAGCTTTCCATAGCCTAGCTTCACAACGAAGCAGCCAGAACGGAGCTTGTTGGATGTCTGCAAAACAAAACACATTAAGGAAAGGAAGGCACAAAGCTCGAAAAACTTGTGCCGAAACTCACCGCAAAGTGAAGCCGCTGGGCTTCCTGGAAGGCTGAACGCACACCTCCCAATCCAGTCCCTCCGGCCTTGAAAGAGACTACTCCGATCGAGGCATGGTCATTCAGTGTGCGCGACCCTAGGTATCTAGTATCTCCCGAAATGCTATCAACAGAAAAGGAAGGTGATAGCGAGGAAGGAATAACACAACGCTCACCATGGTATTTTACTCCCCATCTGCCCCGGGACAAAGCTCGCCACTTGCGTTAGTCACAGGTAGAGTGGGTCGCCAATTCTCAGTCCCACTCCGGCAGATCAAGAATATCACCCGACGCCCATGAAACCGGTGTAGAAGTAGAGAGGAAAGCATGAT